AAAATTAACATCATACACCTTTGGAATGTTGCGGGAGCATTGCACAAACCAAAAGGCATCCGTCTATAAGCAAATGTGCTAAAAGGATAAGTAAAGATGGTTTTCTCTTGGTCTAAAGGGTCAAGGGCTACTTGATTGTAACCCGAATAGCCATCAAGAAAGCAATAATATTGTTGCCCGGCCAATTTCTCTAGAATTTGATCAATGAATGGCAAAGGGAAGTGATCGTTTCTAGTGGCGGCATTTAATTTGCGGTAATCAATGCATACACGCTGTGAATTGGCGGTACACTTAGGAATTGCCTCACCTTTTGAATTTTCAACCACCGTAATCCCCGATTTCTTGGGAACTATTTGAGTTGGACTCACCCATTTGCTATCAGAGATTGGATAAATGATACCGGTATCTAAGAGCTTAACAACTTCTTTCTTAACCACTTCTTTCATGTTTGGGTTTAATCTCCTTTGGGCATCCCTAAAAGATTTTGCATCCTCTTCCAAAAGAATACGATGCATACAAATGGAAGGGTCAATTCTCTTTAGATCCACCACACTCCATCCAATAGCTTCTTTATTTTCTTTAAGCATATCCAAAAGAGAATTCTCTTGATCTTTTTCAAGATTTGAAGTGATGATGACCGGAAGAGTCTCTTTCGGGCCTAGAAAGGCGTACTTAAGATCAGGATGGAGAGTTTTAAGCTCAAGAGTGGGTGGAGATACCAAAGATGGGACCGGTGGAGTGCTAGAGAGTGGAGGAAGATGTTCTTTTAGAACTTTCTAAGGTGGAAAACCTAAACTTGCAACGGATTCCATTAGGTCATTAACCTCGCTCAAACCCACAACTTTCATACATTTCAAGGAGACAAGATGCAAGAGGATCCTCGGCTAAAAGAGATAAAAGATTATCTTTGGTTGGTTTTTTTATAACCATGGAAGGAATGGACTCCTCCACAATCTCATCCAAGACATCTATGAGGCAACACTTGTCTTCATCTATGGGATGTCAACTTGCATTGAATACATTAAGCTTAATCATCATGTTACCAAAAGAAATGTCTATAACCCCGGATTTACAATTGATAGTTGCATTTACGGTGGCAAGAAATAGTCTTCCCAAGATGATTGGGATGTGATTGGTAGGATTAGCAACCGGTTCAGTATCAAGAACCACAAAATCAATCGGGAAATAGAACTTGTCAACCTTGATGAGAATGTCCTCAACCATGCCCCTGGGAGTTTTAATGGATCTATCGACTAATTGAAGCACCACCGAGGTTGGCTTCAACTCATTCAAACCTAGTTGGATATACACGGAGTAAGGAATCAAATTGACACTTGCCCCTGAGTTAAGAAGAGCTCTACGAACTTCATGGTTTCCAATTACACATGAGATGGTCGGAGCACCGGGATCTTTGAACTTAGGTGAAGTGTTATGTTGAATGATGGAACTCACTTGCTCCGTTATGAACATTTTTTTAGGGCCTTGTCCCTTGCTCTTCCTCTTTTGCGTGCAAAGATCTTTCAAAAATTTTGCATAAGGCGGAATTTGCCTAATTGCATCTAAGAGAGGAAGATTTCTGTTAACTTGTTTGAAGACTTCCATCATGTCATGGATTTTTCCTTCTTGCCTCCCAAAAGATGAAGTCTCTTTCAAAGCATAAGGAAATAGAGCTTTTGGATCATAAGACCTTGCAACTTGAGGGGATGATGAAGAAGCTTGAGATTTCTTAATGATTACACTTTCCTCCAAGGAAGTAGGAGTAGGGTTAGAAACAGGACGAGTATCAACTGTTGGTTGCACCGGTTCACTATCTTCAATTGGTTGCTTAACCCTATTGTCAACTTGCCTACCACTTCTTAAAGTAGTAATGGCTTGCACTTGCTCTTGGGAGGGACACCTCGATGTAAAGTTTGCTTCCACAAGATATTGGGCTTTTGGGTTCCTTTTGGGTTGATTAGGCAATTTACCCATTTCTCTCGCATTCAATGCATTAGCTATCATTCCGATTTGAGACTTAAGCTTTGATATTGATTGAGAATGAGAATGTAACAAATTGGTGTTCATTTCCAAACTATTCAAAGCCACTAAGACCTTATCTTCAAATGTGGAGTTACTAGAAAGTACATGAGGATGATTAGAGCTACTTTGAGAATTATAAGCTTGATGATGAAAGAAATGATTCATTCTTTGATGATAAGAAGAGAATGAAACAAATCATTTTGAACCTTTATTTCTTTGATGAGGAGGAATATATTGATTTTGAAAATTTTTAGCTTGAAAAGGATTTGAATGTTCATTTCACACCGGAACATAAACATTTGAAAGAAGGTGAGCAAATGTGACATTAACTTGTTCATAGTGTTCATCAAGCACATGTCCATGGGGACAATTGGAAGTAGTGTGCAATACACTTGAACAAGTCATGCATGGATCACAAAAATGATGAAAATGGTGATTAAGAAGAGGAGATGATTGAGTTACCAGTTTTTGACTCAATAGAAATTGATCAAGTTTTTGAGTATAAAACTCTCGCCCAAACTATTAAAATGCCTCCAAAACTGTTTTAAACGAGACAAGTGCTCGACGGAGTAAGCTATTTTTTCGTCCCTTAAATTCCTCTAGGCCCAACTCAATGCAAAACAAAATCCTCTAGGCCCAACTCAATGTAAGTCATGGGTCTCAAAGGATCTGATTAGAGTGGGAAAAAAAGAATGTGTTGGGTCTGAAAAATAGGACAAAACAGAGAGTTCCCACAGGGCACGGGGTTAGCGTCGAGCTTGGTGTCGAGGATGGATTTGTCGACGACCTTGAGAGCAAAGGGGTAGCAGGTAGTGGCAGAATGGTCATGGACAATAAAAACCTTGCCTATTGCACCTTTACCCAATACTTTGATGGCTCTAAGTTTGTTCAAAGAGAGGAGAGTGATTTTTTTTGGGTAGGTGTACAAATATTAGATAGAAAGGGTAAAATTTTCAATTCATACTGACTTAGTAGATTTAAATGAAAATGGAGCAATGTGATATTGTTTTTATATTTCAAGGGATCGTTTAATTTTAGTAGGGGGTTTTTTGCACTAATTTCAAGGTTGAGGGAGGTTATGTGATTTTACCCCTAGATTTTATTTATTTATTATGTGATTCCATACGGTGTTGTGCACTTAAGATTAGGAGGGGTTGGGATGGCAAATGGGACAGTCTTGGAAAGGATCCCTTCCCTTTTTCGGTTTAAGTTTTTCGTCTTGTCTCAAAACCATTTACCTAAAACACCCCTATACTCAGTGGCCTGCACCTATTTAAGTTTCCTCACTTCTCCTTTTTTTCAACTATTTGTTTCTTCTAATTTTCTCATTCAAAATTTTAAAACTCATACTTAGGTATATAAATCAAATAAATAAATTTTTTCCAAAATTCACACAATTGTACCAAATTAACCCAATAAACATTAGCATTCTTCAAACAATAAGAGTAGTTTTGTATATAACACAAGGTATAAGAGAAAAATAGTATTTTGCTTTGTTTCATTATAAAACCCTCACCCAAACTACTAAAACAACCTCCAAAACTGTTTTAAACGAGACAAGCGCTCAACGGAGTAAGCTATTTTTTCGTCCCTTAAATTCATCTAGGCTCAACTCAATGCAAAACAAATTTATTTCGCTTTTAATCCAAGCTTCTCAGCCTGATTCTAATTCAACATTCAAAATTTGAATTTAGGTTAGAAAAATTGGTTGGAAGCTGGATTAATCTCGAAAAAATTTCTATATATATGTAAATTATAAACAAAATTTTCAAAAAAAAAAAAAAAAAATCTAAATTTTAATAGGCAATAAGTTAAGATTTAAAGGAAAAGAAGTTAAATGATAAAAGACTCGCAATTATAAATACACATTTTTTTTTTCTTGTGATCCACATAAAGATGAAAAATTAAACTAAAATTTTTTGACAAAACTTTCGAAATTAAAAAGACTCTTTGACAAAAAAAGTCAAGCAAAATCTAGATGGAAATTAAAAACAAATGAAAAAAGAGTATTTTTTTTGCAAGGTAAGGTTATATAGATTAGTAGATGCAAATAGTTGAAGTTTGGCATTCTAAAATTTACAGAAAATAAACCCAATGAGCTATCGAGGCATCTGAAAATAATAATAATAATAATAATAATAATAATAATAATAGTATATTTAGTTACAGGTTACGTGAGAATTTGACAATCTAATCAACAATTTAATTTGAACATTGGCTAAAAGCCTAAAATCCCATAAAATTCTCAACAACCAAACCTATAAATTGATACGAAAAAGAGCTAGAAACCTAAAATCGCCAAAACTCTCAACAACCATAACATTTCAAGCTGTTTAAATTCCAAAAACAATTATTTTAAAACCCACAAAAGTGGTACTAATAATGACATGATAAGATTATAATAATATAATATTGATTAATGTAGAAAATTAAATACAAAACAAAATATTAAGGTATGTGATCTGTAATTTGCCCGTTGGCGTCATTTATTGACAGTCCACAAGAAACAATAAAATAATCTACCGAGAACGTGCCAATCATAACCGTTACGAGGAGAGATATATATATATATATAAAAAAATATATACTATTATTTTTTATTTTTTTATTTTTAGGATATATATACACATTTTTCTATAAATTATAAATGATCAACGGTAATAGAGAATCGTAGATCTAATCTCAACTGTCTAATTATCAACAAATTGGACGGCTGAGATTTTCCATCAAAGACGTGGGCGGTTAGGATGCTTTGAGGCTGAAAGAGAAGTGAACAACCGTCTGACATAGCGACCCACTGAACGGGTGAGATTTACGATACAAAACGTGGACGTTCCAGATGTGTGCTTCCCGTAAAGTAATTAAAAATAACGGCTAGGATTCGATGAGAGTTTGCTGAGTTGTCAACTAATGATTAGACAACAGAGAAAAATTAATTAGTTCTAAATTAATCGTCCACACCCCGACTTAGAAAAAAAAAACGGAGTCTCTTTTTCTTCAATCCTATATAAATACTCCTCCTCCCTGTCGCTTCAGTTCTTAAAACACACACACTCTCTAGAATTACAAGTCTCTCTCTATAATTACTTGTGAATCTGTGATCGTTAGGTTTCTCTCTCTAAAATCCTGTTTTCAGTGTTTGAAGAGAGAGGAAAGCGACGAGAATGGCTTACTCGAGAGTGGTGTTTGCTGTGATTTTTGCTCTGGTGGTTGGATCTGCTCTCGCTCAGGCTCCGGCGGCTACGCCGACCGTTTCGCCGACTGCTTCTCCGACTAAGTCGCCGGTGGCGGCTCCCGCTCCCGTCGTGGCGCCACCGACCTCCGCGCCAACAACCTCACCGCCGACCTCCGCGCCAACAACCTCACCGCCGACCTCAACTCCTGTTACTTCTCCGCCAGCTCCTCCGTCTCCCGCATCGTCTCCCGCCGCCAATTCTCCATCGATCTCTACTACTCCCAGCGAATCTCCGTCGTCGACTCCGAATTCCGCCGGTCTGATAAGAGCTGCCTTCGGCGGATCTGTATCTGCACTCGTGTTCGCTTCGGCGGTGTTGCTTTAGATCTGATCTGGATGTTTTATACTTTGCAGTAGTGGATGATTTTAGGGTTTATGTAGTGGTTTTATTTTATTTATTTTTTATTTTTTATTTTCTTTTGTAGTAGACGTTGATGATGGCGATTATATGGTCTGATTTACTGTTGATTTTGAGATCTTATTCTGTTACTGTTAATTATTTTATGGATTCAATTTTGTGATACATATTTCTATTTATTTATTTATTTATTTTGAGAAATTATTACAAATCACATATATGTGACTATGTGAGTGAGTCAACTGAAATTAGCTTTGATGGAGATGTTCTTGTCACTTTGCACAGCTAGAAACTAAATTGAAATTATTAGGTTTTGTCACTTTGTGTACAAGAAATTAGATTTTGTAATTATTGTTTTTAAAAAAAATAAAATTCAATGTAATTTAAAATATATTACATATTAATTAAGAAATAATATAATTTTTTAAAAATAAAAAAAAACAAACATTTAATTCTAAATTTAAAATTATTAATTTATTTATAATTATATGTACAAATTGTAAAAATTATATTACTTTTATATAAATTACATTAAATATTTATGTTTACGTATATTTATTTCGAGATAAATAATAATTTATTATATTTTGAAAAAGGATTTATAAATTGGGATTATGTAATTTTGGACTCTTATATTGTAATAAGTAGAATGAAAGCCAGCTGTGATCCACATAATAGGGGACAAACTTAGAGGAGGACGCAACATGTATTAATGAGAATGCTAAAAACTTAATGTAACACATTTTATCTTAAAAATGCTTAGTTAATTTGATTGATGCAACATTTTATATATATATAAAAAAATAAAAAAATAAAAACAATGGTGTGACACACTTTATTGGTGTTGTGTACTTTTGGTTTCTTTTTAAAACTTTGATTTTTGTTTGAAAAAAGAAGTTTCACGTGGGTCACAGCTGTTACTGTACCTGGTTTGTGCTCTCACTTTATGTAGTCCCATGTGCAGTTGTATCAGAAGACAGACAACAGATGTATTAAGATATTTTAGCTTGAAAGGAGAGCATGGTTTTTAGGGATTGTTTGGTTGGTTATCTTAAAAACAGTTTCAACCCAAACAAAAAATGATGTACTGTGCATATGGTTGCACATATGCATGTATAACTTTACACCTTCTTCGTTTTTGTTTTTTTTTGTTTTTTTTTTTTGGAATAATTTGGGGTATTCGAAATTTCACCCCAACTGATTTTCGATAATGCAGGAAGGGCGTCTCCCCATCTCGGACGGGGTAAGTTATTGAGTATGGTTATGGAGGCGTAGCCTCAAGCAATCGTAAACTCCTCGTGGGAATAGAACCCTAGACCTAGTATTAGAAAGATATCAAAGCCCAAGTAATTTTATCACTAGGCCAACCCCTTAGAGTTGTTGCATGCATTACTTCATCTTACAAAGATGAGCATGTAATTTTTTTTTTTTTTTTTTTTTTTTTCTGTTAATGGTTAGATCTAGATTTTGAAAATATTTTAAGAAGGAAAAATTATTACATGGTCATTAGCTTATTTCTTGCACGTACCAATCGAAGTATTTTGAGAAATGAAAACAGAAGAATAAGAATGAATGCTTCCTCGGCATGGTCAATCACTATTTTTGAACGTAAGTTGAATAAATCTTATACATTTTTGATACATTTATTTAAATGTCAATGGTGATGGATCGGAACCATTAATACTGGAAAGAAGTTATTACATGATCCTGGAATTAGTTGTTCGGAGTCAATCATCATTGGACACATAAGCGATTGTGTCGAAAATGTGTAAGATTTATTCAATTTTATCTTAGGTGTCTAATGATGATTGGCGGGAACCAATTATGTCCTGAATCATTTTGGACATAAATCTAATTATTACATGGCTTGACAATCAATATTTAATCTGATTTTGGAGTCATTTCACAATTAGAATTTGGTTAGTTTTTCTTTTAGTTTTTTAATTCTTGGATAAGAACTAGGATTAGGTTCTTAGTTCGCACATACTTGCAGTTTTTTTTTTTTTTTTTTGTTTTTCAGAATTGGGGTTGGGTTAAATCAAATTGTGCTTGAGTTAAGCTATTAACATACGATTCATGTTACTCAGCCTAAATAATTGAAAAAATACTTAATTGTTGTTGTTTTGGATTTATATACTTTCAATTTATTTATTTATTTATTATTATTTTTATTCTGGCTACTTGGGCTGGCTTGGCCCGATTTGATCACTCACACAGTGGTGGAATCTCCCTTTCATGTGAGTGCTCGGCATGGACCGAGTCGGCCCTAAAAGCATTTTCAAATTATTTATTTATTTATTTTTTTTTTTAAATGCACTCTAGAATCATTCAAGATCAACTAGAATTTAACGATCGAAGCAATACATGTTCGTATGCCCATTCCAATCTTATCCAACTTTACTAACCCTCCCTCCTTGTCGTATTCTATTTTTTTTTTTTTGGTGCATGTGGACGGAAAATAAGGTGAGGGGAAATAATGAAATTTTTTAGAGTGTACTGGATTGGATGATTGAGAGAGACAGGAAAAGAAAAGAAAAAGAAAAGAAAGGATAGGGTTTAAGTGTGTTTGGGTAGTTTAACGAGGGAAAAAAAGGAATACGAAGATATAGGGGTTATCCCTCCTTATTCCTCATTTCATATCTCTCAAAAAATGAGGAGATAAGGAGATAAATGATACTGTTTAAGTAGTATTTTTATAATCCTGAAAGTGCCTTTAACAATTAAAAAGAAAAAACTATTATTATTTCACTTATATCTCTTCTATTTAAAATGATGTGATAATAATTTGATTGTTATTAATTCTCTTTTTTTCTCTCTTATATCATATACAAACAAGATTACTTTAATTTCTTTTCTTTTCTCTTCTATCTATCTAAATATAAATACAAATTATTGTTATCCTTTCTTTTCTTTTCTCTCATAACTAATACTATCATTTCTTTTTTCTTCTTCCCTATGTATCCAAACAAAACCTTAGTAATTTGACAACAGTAATATTTTATGAGTATATAGTTGAAAAAGAACTAATTAGTACTGTATATAAGTTAAAAAAAAAAAAATTTATTCAATGTAGGTCCTGCATGTGTCCGTATAGTGGATTATGAGAGTGAAAAAGCCCGACACCACCATCGTCCAACAAAAAAAATAATAGTAATAGTTTTAATACATTAATGTGTAATTTTTCAGTACAGAAGAAGAAAAGATGGAGCATTACATGTTTTGGCTAAATATAGCAGTACCCTAGACCAAGCCCATTGACATTATTCATATAATATTTCAAAAAAAAAAAAAAAAATTCAGAGGACAAGGAAGTTCAATTCTGGCGGGCAATCTTGTGAAGTTAGGGAAATTGCAAAGCTGATGAGTGACCCTTTTTTTTTTTTGTTGGTTCCTCTGCATCAATGATTATTAGTAGTATACGTTTCAAGCACTTCTCTCAAGCATTTCTTGATACCTTTTGAATGAAGCCAGCTTCTGCATTCTCATTTTCTTATGAAACTTCATGATAAACAAGTCGGCTACGTGATCAATCTCGTCTTCAAGGCTGAATTCCTCTCCTTCCTCCTTGGAATTCCTCACCAGATCGATCACTGATCCGTTGGGATCGCCCAAGTCCAGCTCATCAGCCTCGTCAAACAACGAGTGCCTGAGATCCGGATACTTACCATCATCATCATCATCCTCGTCGTAGTATACATAGCCCTCCAGCCTCTTACTGGGCTGCAGGGTGTTACTAACTGAACTCCCGTGTGGCTCCGAGGCGTTGTATAGCACGATGGCTCTGCTCTGATCACTCTCGTCGTGGCTGCCTCCCCTGTTTTGCTGCCCTAGTATGGCATGAATCCTGTGAGTGATGGAATCGAGCGAGAGCTTCTTGTTCTTCACCAATGAGAACACGATGAGCCGCGCTCTCATAGCGTCCGTTTTGCTTTTGATGGCCATTGATTTATTTTTGGCCATAGAACACAACACAGAGATCATGTGTTTTAAGTAAACAGAAGCACTATTCTTCATTTTTAATTGTGGGAAAAAATTCTTCATTTTTAACTTGAGCTACAACAAAACAAAACACGGTTTTAGCTACGGAAAAATATCGTAGCAAAACGATTGAATCTAGAAGAAAATATAGAAAAATTGAACTATGAGAGCTATAGTATAAAAGAAAGTTTTTTGAAAAAAAAATTAAAATTGATTGAAGTTGGAAATTGAAGTATGAGAGAGGTTTGGTAGAAAAGAGAGTGTTTAAAGAAATGTTTGGCATGAAGGAATACTAGAGCATTTGATGGGTTTTTATAGAAGTTAATGGGCTCATATCTAAAGCCCATTTAATAAAGGTGAAAGAAAAGCAAACCTGCATACTAGGGAAATTGTGTCTTTCTATGAACCTTCAAGCTTACCATTCATCAACAATGGAGTTAAAAAAAAATGGAAAGAAATGATTTAAAACAATTTGATTTTGGTATTGAGCAATCCCGGGACGCCACGTTGGGTAAGAACCAGATTCTTTTCCTGTTAGGCACAGCCTTTTTTGTTGTTTGCCTAAAAAATGAAGATGGAAACACTTTAAAAAGGTGAAAGATGAAAAACCGAAAGCAAAATTGCAAAAGCAAACTACAATCTTTTTTTGTCCAATTATGCAGTCAAGTGGCTTTTGACAAAAGAAAAGTGTAATTTCCATTTGAAAAAATATGATTGTAAATTGTAAAGCATTCTATATAAAATGTATCAAGTGATATAGAAGGGTTCTCTGTTCACTTTCATGTCTGGTTTTCACATGTGGATCCACTGAACAATATTTTATGATTCAATCTGTAGCCATGGAATGGCTTACTTATTGGGGCCAACAGAAGCAAAACCACTTTTGTAGGGGTATCATTTTCACCTATCAGTTTGTGCAATGTGTGTTGGATGAGTGCAATACAAAAGAGAGCTTAATTTTTTTATATTTTTTATTTATTTTTTATTATTACATTCTGCTTTCTTCTGCTGCTGAGTTGGAGTGCAAGTACCTAATTAACATCGGTCTATGCTCCTAGGTTAAAATTTCCTTCCCCCATCCCCATTAAAGAACCTAACTAACATCAATCATAAAACTTAAATGTACTATTAGTGATAACTTAGGTTCCGCGGAATTGCTGGAGTAGTAAAGGATCAGTACTTAACTGCCCCCGTCCTATGCTCCTAAGTTTGAATCCCCTTTCACTATTCCCACTAACTACTAACTTTCCTTTATCTGTATGTATGTTCTATGCTAATATTAATAATAATAATAATAATAGTAATAATAATAAATCACAACATGAATATATATATATATATGCTAAAACTTTGCTTACCATACTTCTAGTCTTCTAGCTGTCTTAGTTATTAAAATCTATTGTGTCACATTTGCATTACTTTAAACACGAAGAGCATAGTGATAAAATAATATTCAAAGTCACATAGTATTTCTTGTTTCTCTTAACATTCAATGGAAACAATAAAAGGGGTTACTCATTTGAGTTCCGATCAACCAAACAAAAGGTCTGTGCATCTTCTAATTTTTTATATTTTATTTTATTTTATTTTATTTTTTTTTGTGCGGAGGGAATCCAATGCTTTGCACCAAGCATTGGTGCACAACACCACACCCAAGGTAGGCTACGCGGAGCTCCAACCGGCCCGTGTTGAGCTCCCGCACGAGAGGAATGATCTTACAAAACAGAACATTGGCTTTTACTGAAGCTCACTACCTAGCTACTTGTTGAGCAGAGTGAATAAAAAATATATATTTAAAGAAAAAATATATAGTAGACGACATTGTGACAGCGACTAAGAGATAAAAGAGGTGTGAAGCAGTATCAACAATTATAGAATTACTTTTAAGTTATATCTAAATCATTTGCTTTAACCTCAAAAAAGAAACCAGAATAATAGTAATACTAACAATAATAATGAATGCACACATACTTTTCACTGGCTGTCAACGGTTCCTTAATAGAGAATATTTCAACAGCTAGGAATTGGATGCTTTCGTTGTTAGAAAGTAAATTCCTCGCAAATTTTTTTTTTGGCTTGACAAGAAAAGCGTCATGCGGCATTTACAGGAAAAGAGAACACAAAAGCATCCATACAAGAACCACAACGATCCACCAAAACAAAAGCTACCAACAACAACTAACACCCATGGCAAGATCACGGTCTTGACAATAATACAGATTTGGATAACCTCATTGTGGAGGGAAAAAATCCCCCCTCTAATAAGAATCATCCACGTCATCACACTATAAATTTATATTAAATATAACAAGGGCCCGATCGGTATCAAGCCCAAATTGGGAGAACCCAATTCGGATCAAGCCCAGGCAAAGTCTTGCTTCCATATAGACCACTGACTCAGGCCATTCGGCCCATTTACTAAGCCCAGACGTCAACAGCCTGGGGCGCCAAGTATAATACCCCTAATTTTAAACGGACAGTTCTGGAATTTAATTATTGTATTTAATTGCATTTTATTTTATTATTGTATTTAATTATTTTATTGGATTATTTGCTTGATAATTGATTATCTGCTTGTTTGTCCTTTTATTTGAATTAATTGTTTTCTTTTATTAATATTATTGTTTTTGTTATTGGATTATTTTGAATTGGGTTAAGTTAAATGTTAATTTATTTTAGATTAGGATTATATTTCTGTGGAAGTTATTTAAATGTTAAATTATATAATTAAGTTGATTTACGTATATGTCAGTTAGGGTTGGAGTTACTGTAGCCGACCTAGGTTGTATTAAGTCGCCGTGTATTATAACTTGGACATTTGCATGGGCCGACTAAGGGTTTGCATTAGGGCTCTAGCTATATACGGATTAGGGTTAGAGAATTAAGCCTATAAATATATTTCTTCATGTGGGTTTAGGGTTTAGCAAACAAACATCACACAACCTGCATTCACGTATCAGGTTTTCAGAGAGGGAAAAACAGAGAGTTGTAGAGAGTTTCAGAGAGAACCTTTGGGGATTAAAGGAAGAATTTAAGGAGAAGGTTGGGGATTGAATTAGGAGCAGCAGAGGGAGTTAAGACAACCATCGTTGCCGGAGTTGACAGGGGTCTGCAGTTCCACAGTCTGAAACTGAAGGCAAGTTTCTGTTCCGCTCTATTCTCTTTAACCTGTGTTCTGTACATGCTTAGCAAGACTCCAGGAATTAAAATCAGACTTAATTGCATCTTTTCTGCATCTGTAATTAGTGTTTAATTGCATGAAAGTAAATTTGTTAATAGTTGTTTAAAAATTCAATCTGAAACTTAACTGCCGTTGTGAAACAACTTATGTTTTAAATGCAATTTGTGTTTTAAATTCATGTCTTGATTTAATATCATTGTGTATGACTAATCTGGAAGAGGATGGGACTTTCAAACATGGATAAAACTAAGTTCAGAGATTTGAATTCACCGGAGTCAGAGAAGACGAGAGGAGAACAGGCTACGGCTCTTAGGGGTGAGAGCAGGCTCAGAAAAACGGAAGGAGCCTGCTCACACAAAGCTAGAGCCGGCTCTCTAGGGTTGAGAGCCGGCTCTCAACAACCTAGAGCCGGCTCCCAAGGGTGGGGAGCCGGCTCTCCTTGCCCAAAGAGCAGGCTCTTCAATTTTTAGAGCCTGCTCTCTCCTATTTGTGCGTCTATTTTGGATTTTAAGGATTGTTTGGTTAGGACTGATTTTTAAAGCTATCTTAAAGCTACTGGAGGGTGAATTTCACTGATAAAAACTTGTAAAACAATAGTGAAACATTAATTTATAAATTGATTTAATCAAGGAATAACATTCAGTTAGGAAAACTAGTAACCTTCACACTGTCTGGTGGGTTTTATATTACTGGAATTTGGCAGAGTGTATTTATATAATTTAATTATGTATAATCATATATTTTTCCAGCGTAATAAGTATAGTGAATTAATTATGTTTAACTATACTTGGGTTGGATTTACATTGGATACTCAAACGGTTGTAGTTGTATCGTTTTATTGACTGATTTAGACAATAAACTATGTATTGGACTGTGGAATTTCTGTATTATATAATTTACTGTTTTATTGTATTTATACAGAAGTATAAGAATAGTAAGTGCGTGAAACTATCTGTTCTTGATTTGGAATGAATTGATAGGGTTGTTTATAAACTCTATCAATCTAAGGATTTTGTGGAGGATTAGAATACTGCGACTTGTATTAGCATTTTAAAAGATTAAAATGTGATATTTGGATTCTGTAATAATTCTTATTGTCTTGGTATATGTTTTAAATGGTATTGATACATATTATGGATAATAGTTGATGATTATTTAATGTTGTTATCAACTATGGTAACCGAAGGATGGTATGTACCGGTATGGGACGGTGACATACTAGGTATAAACTAGATCAAACACTAAGTTCTAACTAATTTGGATTAAGGTATGGATTAACCATATGGGTTAAGTCCATCACCTACTTGGGTCATATCAATTGAGAATTGAATGAACTACTATGGGTTCAGGATGGATTTGTTATACAATATATCAAACTGTTACAAAGTTGGATGGTATTTTGTATTAGGAGGAGTATGGATTATATATATATATTTTATAGTAATATGGTATGAGTTTGAGTCTCAGGACCATAGTTAGGGCGCGTATATTGCCTAGGATGGATAACTAGACATAGGTGTTGTTCCCTGGTAGGTCTAGGTACTCATGCCCACCTTAGGGTGCGTATTCGCATGTTGCATTCTATTCAGGCTGAGACAAACCTATTGAACTAGCGAGCATCCTATTAGTGTGTACTATATAGATATGGACTACTCTAGATATTGTTGAGTCTTCCTAGGATGTATCTGCGTATCGGATTACTGTTTGGATTGTAGTAGATCAGGACTTGCATGTGGGCCTGACCCACTCCTTTATTTTTCAGGTGTTCGTCAGTTCCAGGGTTAGAGCTTGAACGTGCAGAGCCGATACAGCTACTCATTCCTCCCACTACGTAGGGATCTACTTTATGTTAGCTTTAGTTTTATTTCTGTTATTTCAGTTTCAGATTGAGAAGTTTAATAAGGGGTCCAATTGATGGATTCCCAAGTTGTAAACTGATGGAGTTTTGGAGTTTGGGTTTGATGGATTTTAATAATTATAATATTTTGCGGATTCTACTTTTAGTTCCTTTCAGCTTCTATTATTTTTATTTCTTAAATCAATTTTGTATTCCGTGTTTGATTTAAAATATTAATTGTTTGATATCCCTCGGGTTTGGGCCTGGGCCTGATCAACCCGTGTCTCGGATCCGAGGGTTATCACACCAAGGTTGAATTCCAAGCCTATTTACCGAGTTATTTGGATCAACCCATGCACTGCCCAATCTCAATTAAAGGTAGACCAGTCCTGCTAGACAAATGATTCAGCAAAGAGAGCAAGTTCTGTGCAAGGTAAGTTTTGTATGGAAAGAATTGTAAAAAGGAAAGGATTATAATTGTAAAGAATGTCATATATGGAATGGATTGGGGGACAAGCCAGGTGAGTCCTACCATAATTCCACCACCTTGTTTCTTATAAATAGAGGCCTATCGAGCATTATACACTTATCTCTGAGTATTATAATTGCTTGTTCTGAGTGAGTTGTATTTTTCTTTTTATTTATTTTAATAGAGAGAAATTTTGCACCTACACTTTGGCGCCGTCTGTGGGAAACGTATAGAAATATAGTCCCACTTTTGTTTCAAATTGTTTTTGTTTCCACGATCTGGAATGTCGAACGGAGAATCAACGGCGGCTGATAAGCAGATGGAGTTGATGCAAAAGATGCAAGAAGAGTTTTTGTACCAATTTGAAACACTTCGTCAGACGAACGAAGTCAGCGTAGCCCAGATTGCATTGTTTCAATAGCAAAACGACACCCTTCAAACTGTTATGGCTCAGTTGACACCTCAGCCACCACCAGTTGATGTGGTTGCGCCTCTTCCTGACTAAAACGCTCTTCAGGTTAACGAGCTTCAGGTCAATGGGGTTCGGCCTAATGAAGTTCGGCCCAGCGAAGTTCAGCAAGAGCAGAGGACAAGGTCCAAGGCGGTAGCTTCGGACACTCTTCCTCGTCGCACGCAGGACGAACAGGCCGAGTCCAACCGTAAGCTTATGGTACGGTCTAATAGTGTTCCAGATGGTGCAGGAGTAAAGGAGGCCTTCGACGAAAAGAGATTTCTGAGAGTTCGAACGCCTGTCGAGATGGCCAGGGAACATAAAAATTCTCTCTTGAGGACCCCATTCACTGATGATGTGTACCTTGTTGACAGACCTAAGAAATTCACCATGCCTTCTTTTACCCAGTTTGATGGTACGGGAGATCCTTCTCGGCACCTAGATCACTACGCACAAAAGATGGCTCTGGACGATCACAATGATCCATGGATGTGCAAAGTTTTCCCTACCAGTCTAACAGGGGCTGCGCTGGAGTGGTTCAGGAATAGGCCACACAAATCTATTCCAGACTATAAAACTCTGTGCGCTATGTTCCTGGCGCAGTATTGCGGTAATAAGAAGCAAAAGAAAAATATTGCTAGCCTTTTCACTATAAGGCAAAAAAAAGGCGAAACATTACAGGATTTCTTGTCCAAATTTAACATGGAGGCTTCGGAAATAGCAGATTGCCATCCTGATACCGCAATAGAAACGTTCAAACTTGCAATGATTCAGGGAACCAAGTTTCATACATCCTTAGTTAAATATTCCCCTCCGGATATGCAGACTCTTAATGCTAGGGCACAGATCTACATCTGGCTTAAAGAGAATGTGGCCCACCGAGTGCAACATGCCACCCTCGTCATAGTGGAGAACAAGCCTTAGGAAAGGGTTTCAAACTCAAAAAGCCGAAAAAACCAGCACGCTTCAACATAAGTCATTCAAATACCCGAGAAAAGGCAAAGGACAGAGGAAAGATTCACACCTCTTCACACAACCTTGGCTCGGCTATTCCAAGAGAATAAGATGAAGTTTGCAGTCCCTCAGCCAATAAGGCAACCTTTGGAGCAGAGAGACAAGAACAAGCACTACTCCTACCATAGAGATTACGGGCATACAACTAATGATTATAGATCCCTTAGGCGGCAGGTGGAAAACATGATAATGAGAGGTGAATTGGCAAACTACCTCACAACAAAGGAGTACGTGAAGCCCCGGGAGGTCAATCCTCGGAAAGTCAAAGGTAATCAAGTAAAGGTCATCTAGGCAATACATGGAAGATCGGAGGATGATCAAGAATCAGAGGAGGTATATAGATCCCGACTGAGGACAACCCATAAGTTAAAAAGGTTATCCTCAGTGGACACTATCGCTTCAGGAAGTATCAATATTAGGTTAGGCGATGAAAATATATCTAGAGTTCAACTCCCCCACGAGGATTCGTTGGTCATCAGTCTTTTAGTGGCGAATTGCATGATTAAGAGGGTTTTGATAGATCTAGGTAGTAGTGCCAATATCATCACAAATGCGGTCTTTGAGCAGCTGGAGATTTCATCATCATCAATTCGGGCCACCTCTAGCCCCTTGATGGGGTTTGATGGCACAAAGGTGGACCCCCTTAGGGTAATTGACCTATCCGTGACCACGGCAAAGAGGACACTGAAGGAGAACTTTGTTCTAACGGAGATCCACCCTTCTTATAATCTTATTATGGGAAGAGGTTGGATCCACCGAATGAACGGGGTTCCATCTACCCTTCATCAAGTGATGCAATGCTTGTCTCCGGACAATAAAGAGGTTATTAATCTTACGGGAGATCAAGTCGCTGCCAAAGAATGGTACATTTTGACACAGAATGAAGCAAAGAAGGTAATAAAACAGTCCCAACCAATCGCACCTCCTGGGAGCATGTCCAAATAGCAATTACAGAACCCTCTGCCCAGGTATTTGAAAGCAGAGGATGAGGCCGAAGCTGAAAAGCCTACTAAGGAGGCTCTGGAGACTGTCGAAGTAATCCTCGGCGATCCTCAGAAGGTCACCTATATAGGTTCTTCCTCCACAGCGAAAGAAAAGAAAACATTAATCGATATCATTCGACAGAACGCAGATGCATTTGCTTGGGAGCATTCAGATATGGTGGGATTCCTTTAATCTCATGCCATAGCCTGAAGGTGGATCCAACGTTCAAACCAGTTAAGCAAAGGCACAGAAGGTTCGCTCTTGAGCGCAACCAAATTATAGCTGAAGAAGTAAGCAAATTGCTTCAGGCGGGTTTCATCCGAGAAGTGCATTACCCACAATGGCTCTCTAACGTGGTAGTAGTTCAGAAGAAGAATGGAAATGGAGGGTGTGCATAGATTTTACTTAGCTCAACAAAGCCTGCCCTAAAGACAGCTTTCCATTACCCAAAATAGATCAGATGGTTGATGCTACTACTGGTTTTGCAAGGCTCACATTTCTTGATGCATACTCTGGCTATAACCAAATCCCAATGAATCCAGAGGACGAGGAGAAAACTGTTTTCATAACAGAGAAAGGCACCTACTGTTATAGAGTCATGCCCTTCGGACTCAGGAATGCCGGGGCAACTTACCAGCGTCTTGCTAACAAGATCTTCGACGAGATGTAGGGAAAGATGGTCGAGGCCTAAATCGACGACATGGTGGTCAAAAGTGTGAAGAAGGAGGAACATCCTAAGTACCTCCAAGAGGTCTTTGACACTTTGAGAAGGTATGATATGAAGCTAAACCCTTCGAAGTGCTCCTTTGTGGTTTCTTCAGGACAATTCCTCAGCCATATTGTAAACAAAAGGGGAATTGAGGTGAGTCTGGCTCAGGTTCAAGCCCTTATACAAAATCAAGAACCAAAAATCCGTAGGGAAGTACAGGTGTTGACTGGTTGAATCGCAGCTCTCAGTCGATTTATCTCTCGATTGTCAAATAAGTGCAAACATTTCTTTGATGCAATAAAGTCCAAGAGTAAAGACATATGGGCACCTCAACAGCAGGCTACTCTCAACCAACTGAAGTGCTACATGGCTGAACCCCCAATTTTGTCGACTCCGAAGCCTAGTGAAACTCTTATCATGTACTTAGCAATCTCCAACATAGCCATGAGTGCAGTCTTGATTAGAGAAGAAGGTAAAAATCAGTATCTAATCTTCTGCACCAGTAAGACAATGACAAATACAGAAACACGATACAACAAAGCAGAGAAGATCATACTAGCATTAGTGTATGCAAAGAGAAAGCTTCGACACTACTTCAAGTCGTACAGCATCAGAGTTCTTACCAACTACCCCATGCGAGTCATTATTTCCAAGCCAGACTTATCCGAAAGAATAACTAAATGGGCAATTGAACTCAGTTCCTTTGATATATCCTATGAACCAAAGGTGTCACATAAAGGACAAGCACTGGCTGACTTCCTCTTGGAGTATGAGGATAAGCCCGAAAGGCCAGGTCCTTCCCAGCCACAATGGGAGCTTCGGGTGGATAGTTCCTCGAACCTGATTAGTGCCGGGGCCAGAATAGTTATCATAACCCCCGAAGGCACCAAGCTGCAGCAATCAATCCGTCTAACTTTTCCTGCTATTAACAACGAGGCAGAGTATGAAGCCTTGCTCGCAGGACTTCGGTTAGCAAACCAGCTCCAGGTAAGGTGTCTAAAAGTTTTTAGTGATTCTCAACTTGTTGTGAATCAGGTAATAGGCCAGTATCAGCCCAAGGAAGATAGAATGAAAGCCTACAGGGAGGCTGTGGAGAGTGCCACGCGAGGGTTCGATCAACTCAAATTCCATCAGGTACCTTGTGAGGAGAATTCCGAAGCAGATCAGTTGGCTGTTGCAGCATCTTCCTCAGATAAAGATTTGGTCCAGATCGTACCAATTGACATCCTGGACGAACCAAGTATAAGCCCTCAGCAGGATATAATGGTGATCCCAGATGTTCCATGCAAACCATGCTGGATGGATCCATTAGAAGCTTACCGATCATTAAGTACAAATATCATTGTTGTATTGTTTGGTCTACTATTTTTTATGGGTTCAACTTGTTTATGGAATAACTCAAGTTCTGTTTGGCTTCTGGGAAAGTAAGGAAATGACAGTGATGTTAAATTTTGAACTTTATTAATTATGCAAAACAGTGATAGCAAAAAGCAGCATCACAGTAAACTAGTTACCACCCATTTTCCCCTTGCCATTTTACTAATTATTTTAATAAAGAAAAAGGGTGAGGCCATTTGTGATGGCTAAAATTTGTGTCATTACTACTATAAATAGCCTGATTGGTTTTTGAAATATTGTCTTATCATTATTCTATTATATATATAATTTTTTCAATGATTGAAGTATTCTTTGCGAATTGATAAATTTCAAGTAACTTTAAATCTAGGTCTAAGTCAAAGAAGCCTGAACAGGCTGGCTATCTATTTTTTATTTATTTTCAAAACATCTCATCATATATATATATATATATATATATATATACACCAAAAATAATAGTCAATAAATTCTTTTCAAGGAAAAAAGAACTTTGTTTTCACTTTGGCATTCCGGATCCGAAGCTTGTTAGGATTGGTTCCATAGTAGCTAAAAGATGTATTACTTAAAAATCAAAAGAAAAGTTGAATAGTATTTCTATAAATAAAATATAATAAATCATATTTCCAAATAAATTAACAAAACTGTCCCAACTATTACTTTCTAAAAAATCCAAATAACGAATCTTTACTAAAAAGTCAATCTCTCCTAAAAAATCATATCGTTTATTTTAATAAGATCAAATATTTTCAAAAGTCATGTTCTTAAAATAAAACTTTTTTCTAAAAGATACTATTCTTAAAATAAATCTTTCCTATAAAGCCATTTCTCTCAGGAATCTTTTCCTATTTTTCTTAAAATAAAGCTTTCCTACATTAGAAAAATTATTTACTTTTTTATTTCATAGATATTTTAATTCTTAATTTAAAATTAGAACTTAATCATAAAAGTTTCATATTTTATATTCTCTAAAGAAATCATATTTTCTAAAATATTATTTTCCCTAATAAATACTTTCCTAGAAAAAAACTATATATATATATATATATATTATATTAGCTTATTAAAGCATACAAGTTTTCTTATACACACTTAAATTACAAGATTCCTTATAAACATTATTATTTTTAATATAAGTTTCCTTAAAAGACTGTCCATTAATTTTTAATTGAATAATACATTTGTAAATGTTAAAGCTACACATATTTTATTTTTTGGAATGCAATATAGAAATTAGGTAACTGTGTTTCACGGGTGTTGTGGGGTGTCTAACACCTTCCCTATGCACAACCAAACCCCCGGACCCATTAATCTATTTTTCGTAGACTAAAATGGATGTCAAATAAATATAGTTTTTTTAGTCCATAGACATTACATAGGTGACCTAGCACACCAATAAACCCTATGTTAGGTAGCGACTCCAAAATTAATAATTTGACCATAGTCACTCCATCGCATCAAGCCCCATTTTCCTAACCCCTAAGTATTTAATATAATCCTTATATGAAAGGGCGGGGGGAAAATTCGGGCGCGACACCATGTAAAGATCAAACTTAAACAACATAAAAGCTGCTGGAGCATTGGTTAAACCAAATGGCATCATTAGAAACTCATAATGGCCATACCGTGTGCGGAAAAGCGGTCTTGGATACATCCTCATCCTTAACCCTCAACTGATAGTAACCTGATCTCAAATCAATCTTCGAAAAGCATGTCGCTCCCTTTAATTGATCAAACAAGTCATCAATCCTAGGCAAAGGATTCCTGTTTTTTATTGTGACGTGATTCAGTTTGCGATAATCGATGCAAAGTCTCAAAAACCCATCCTTCTTCTTCGCAAAAAGAATCAATGCTCCCCAAGGTGAAGCACTAGGACGAATAAAGCATTTAGCTTTCAAATCATCTAATTGACCTTTCAGCTCATCAAGCTCTGCCGGTGCCATAGAGATCGGCGTTGTACCGGGAATGACCTCGATGGCAAAAATAACTTCTCGAAGAGGAAGAAGCTCGGTAAACTCCTCTGGAAAGACATCCAGAAACTCCACAACAACTGCTGGAAGAACACAGCCCAAACTGCTATCCTCGTCAGCTAACAGGCTAGCCAAGTAGAACCTGTGGCGACTTCAGTCACCAATGCTGAAAATCATCGTCGAGTGGGAATCGCTCCGATCTCCCACGAAGTGAAAACAATCTCCCTTGGGAATGCAAACAGACACTCGCCCGCGGAAGCAATCGATTGTGGCTTTTAAGAAAGACAACCAGTCTATCCCGAGAATGACGTCAAAGCCTACTATGTTGAAAATGACAAAATTGAACTCTAAAGTCCGCCCAGCTTTCTCGATAGCATAACCCTGACAAATATGGTCCAAAAGCACTTGACCCATAACTGGTGTGTCAACACAAATAAAACCATCCCACTGTCCGACCTCCAGTCCCAATGAATGTGCAAATGAAGCAGATATGAATGAATGTGATGCACCTGTGTCAACAAAAACTCTAACCCAAGAACTGAAAACTGGAAAGATACCTCGAACTGTAGAAGTCCCAGTAGAGGTATCAGCCTGTGGCAATGCGTAAGCTCGTCCCTAAGCCCCCAATTGCTGAGAACTGCCCTGGTGGCCCGACTGATGTCCGGAAGCAGTAGGCGTAGAACCCCTACTCGGATAAGAACCAACCGGCGGTGCCATTGGCTGTGGTGCTTGAGACACCTTGAAACCTAACTAAACAACTGCAGATTGTGCTTGTGTAGCTGTGAACCAGTGACACCCTGTACTCTACTCCGTGGATGAGGGCAATCCTTCCTCATATGACCGGGCTGCTTGTAATAGTTACAAGTCCCCTGAAACCCCTTTGTCGAAGCTGTAGGCTCACTAGCCTGTGATTGACTGGTCTGTGGCTGAAGCTATGGGCAGCGAGGCTTGATATGCCCCGGCTGCTAACAATTGTGACAAATCACTTTTCGGGCTGGCCCCGAAGATACTGGAACTGCATATGCAAACCGAGCCTGCTGTAACTGTCCTTGAGTGCGTAAACTGTCCCCAGCCTTAGCCTTCTTCCACTGATTCCCAGAAGATGACGGAGCGTCACTGCGAGGCTACTTGTGTGAACC